CATATGACATTCTCATGTGGGATAAATGTAACCCATGTCAAACCAGTATTTTCAAAGTCCAGACATCTATTGTAGATATTTACTGAGTCTTCATCGATCCTAACTTTACTTCATGTTATGTGATTCATCTTACCTGCTGCGGTGTGGCAGTAACCCCAGTGCCAATAGCCCAGACTGGTTCATAAGCAATCACAACTCTATTCCAGTCTGAAACATTGTCTGCAATGAAACAACAAGATATGCAAGACTGGCCAGTCAATCAAAATGTTTTCCCTGAAAAATTACAATAAATGTTTTTGGATCAAGGTAAGGGATAAACAACAGTCACCAGTTGAAACGGCGCTTCTATCAGCATTACCTCAAAAAGTTATTAAAAAACCCTAAAACATTCTGTTTTTGCTGGAAATCTAGATATAATGGTCTAGTTTTGTTAAAAATTAAGTAAGTGTGCTGAAGCTATAAAAGGAATGCCCAAGGTCACTTTTCACCAATGCGATTGAGGACTGGGCTTGCGCCCACTATAATAAATATCTCTCCCAAATTGATAGGTTTTGCAAGCGGGCTCTACATTATGGTTATACCAGCAAATATACACCCATAACTGATGTAATTAGAATCAAACAAAGATAGGCTACTATGGGATAACATAACTACTGATAGTACTCATCATCTTCATGAACTGCTTCCACCCCAGAGATCAAGGAGCCTTAGGAAACTGAGGGGACACCCTTACATCCTGCCACGTGTCAGAACTGAACGTCATAAACGCTGTTTTGTGAACAGATGCCTTTTCACTGTTATTTAATTGTTATTCATACATTCGAAAATAGTTTGTAATTAGTTTTTTAAAGACGTATGACTCCGGGCATGTTTCTTTTAGCATTTACTATTTATCAAAGAATTCTTAAGGTAACACCCAAGGTAGTCATATCAAACTGATAAAATGTGACAGATCAGACATTTCAAATTCTGTTGTGAGTCATGCCTTGGAAAAATTGCTAAAAACTACTTAAATTTGCTCTTCCCTCAACAGTTTACTTAAGTTGTAGTATCCTTATGTCTTAGGAATATTTATATCTTTCTGTACTTATGTTAATAATGTTGTCAAGATTTAGATTAGCATATATAGAGTTCCTTATTTTTATTTTTTAGTTTAGTCAAGCATTTTTGACGTGACCCTCAAGCTTGAGAGTTCACCTTCTTGGACTCTAAATACAGTCACTATCACCATTACTGTTACCATTAGAAGTGTTTTTTTCTTTTTTGCAAACATTTGTGGGTGTCCTGACCAATAATGCAGAGAAAACGCTATGACAGCAATTTTGCTGGGATGGCCTAACATCCTACTCAGGGGGGAGTAGAAATACTGCTTCATGCTACAGAAACCAGAGGTATTTGCCAGCCTGATGGGCCACTTGGCTCATATGCAGAATTTATCTTCCTCCAGTAGTATCTTCTTTCTTCCTTCTTCTGCTTAAGCATGAAATATGTACAATAATTATCTCAGTTTGGGCTACATTTGGGAATCTCACTAATACTCCATTCCACCTCTGGAAGTCCAGATCTGAAATATACCTTATGTCTTACGAATTTAAGTCCATGGAATCTCCCCTCCTCTTCAGAATACCAAGATGCCACCCATGGTGTGGGTATAGATATTTCCTGGAACCACTAAATGACAAGAAAATTGAAGGCTTTCGTGCAAAAAGGGTGTATATAGCATTTTGGGCCGATTTTTATTTTTTGCAGGATCGAGCTAATTTTTGGCCGACTGACTTGACTTGACATGAAAAGCATCGTTGCGTAATTGGTTTTGTTTTCAAGAAATAACGTATGCAAAAAAAATCAGTCTTCCGAGCGGTATCTTTTGGAGCGAATCCTTCGAAGGTGGATTTCGACACGACGCGAACTTAAATGGTTACTTTTAGCAGCTTCGACAGCACGGTTTTTTTTTTAATAGATGTTCTTATTTTTGAAAGAAGTAGAGAAATAGACCGGAAAAAAAATCGACTGACCTCGTATTGAACCGGTGTCACGACAAAACAAACTCGAATCCAGCCCGTAATTATAGCGTAATTATATGAATAATAAAACTAGCAGCAAAATGCCACGCTTCGGTGACTTCATCATTGAGCAAAACAAAAGGTTTCTTTTGTTTTTCGTTCAACAAAAGATCTCCAAAAGATACCCTTGGAAAACTGAGTTTTTTAAGAGCAAATGTGCACAAAAATCAAAAATAGTTCGGTAAGGCTTGAAAAATCGAATTTGCGCTACTGTTGCATATAAGTAGGCCTTAGTAAAAGTAAAAACGCCATGTAGTTTTTTTCTTCAAATATCTTGGTATTTCCGAGAAAAAGGACATTATCGATTTCACGTCCAGACATCAATCTAACGAGTGCTAATTGGGCTGAAAATCGACCATTTTCATTCGATTRGCATTTCGCAACTATTGAGCGCAGAAAAGTTGTAATACAACCAACTTAATGCAGAACTATTCCTTGTCCAAAAAAGCCCAGCAGTCGAATGCGTGACCAAAAGTGCTACCACTGTTTTTGTCATTAAATCACTTCAGTTCGAAATATCATGTCTTGACTATCAAACAACATTCCCATCCTGGCATTTTAACGGTGTTCCATTAGCTTTGCATAACCTGTGCGCATTCGTCTGGTGAATTTGAATCCCCCAAATCGCTCAATATTACCAAGTTCCTATGTAAATGTTCCTACCTTTTCCGTTTTGTTGTTCGGTACAATCATTCAACCTGCTTTCAAGCAGAAATCCCCAGTAATTAGCAATAGCAAATAAGCCACCATCTTCGACCGCTCCGCGTCTCTTATTTGCATATTGTCCAGCAAAAGTCTTTGGACAGAGGGTAGGGGTAGAGTGGGGATTTTTTCCGAAAGAAAAAGCCTTAGAATTTTTCCAATATCTCGATTTTAGTTCTAATTTAGGGTCTCCTTTCTTAGGTAAGGCGATAAAATGCTACACACTAACAAGGTCTTTGTGGCTTGAAATTCAAACAAAGAAAAGTAACTCTGTTTAAAGCTCTGAAATCCCGACCCTCACCCCCATGTAAAATATGTTGTTACACACCGGTCTCGGATAAACATCTTCAGTCAAAATGGAGGCCTTTCAAACGTCTTCAAAATGGAAACCCGAA